TGGTTTTCAAAAGTTTAAGGATATAAGTTGTACAACCAATCTTCGCAGCTATGTTAAGGCTCCATAAAGGGGACTAGTTAGAATAATCTAACTGTGTTTCGGGACAAGCCCTCACCACAGTTAGAATACGTACGTGCAATGTAGCAAATCGGAGCGGATCCACTCCAAAATGATTTTGAAGAATACAAAAGGAGTTGCACTGAAAATAACTACAAAATTAATCATAACAAACCTTTTTGAGATTTTATATGCCTTTTAACCTAAAAAACTATCCATATAAAGAAAAATTAAACTCATTTTCTCAACGTTTTCTCCTCGCTTCAAATTTAAGGCTATATTGACATTCGGAACTCTCTGGATTGTTCATAGGAAATGCACAGAGTACGAGTTATCGCCCGTGTTTATTTTGCTACATTGCTAATACACGGAACGAATTCTATCGTTAAACCGGGTCCGTAGGACAATATCATTTTAACAATAGAACGTTCTATCTAAAAGGGGACGGGACCTACATGTGAATTATACGGGAAATGATTATTGTGACATCACACAAAAAAAGCAATTCCTCACAATAACAGAAAATAAAATAATTTGCGATTTTAAACTGCATGTGAGTAATGAACTATATCAAAACTTACCACTTCATTCATTTTTATCTCCAGTTAAATCCCACACAGCAAAATATAAACAAGTCACTGACTGCAATGCACTTGTCGACATGACGTCATCATGATAAAATTTGACGCATTTCATGTGTAGTGAAAGGCGGATCAAGTAATTTTTCACAAAAAAAAATCATTTTATTATTAAAAAGAATATTATTTGCAAATGCTAGGCAGACCATTAATACAAATCTGAAACCTTTGTTTAGTGCCATCATTTAAAAGCTATCGAGAGAATGTATTGAATTAATTCTACCTTGTTTTTTTGTACAGGGTTTGCATGTTTCACGCTGAGGTGCCTTACTAAATCGCGTTTTCCCAAGGGCATACAGTCTATAAATCTTGACCATTTTTTTTTAAATATACATAACGGAAAAATTCCTTAACTTGAAAAGTGCTGCTGCTTTCCTGAAATCGAGAGTATAGCTTAATAAATACATAAAATACTTGGTAAAGGTCACACATATTTCGACTAGAGCTAAAATTTAAACTAATAAAATGCAAATTCTATTTAAAGCAGCAGCGCTTTCTATAAACTACAAGATATGTAGAAACAATTATTTGCTTATTTTTTTTAAAAAACAAGGGTATGCCCTTGCGATATTGAAATTTGTTCATGGCCTACATACAGTACACATTACATACATTTATTACGTGATTGTCAAATAACGTGACCAAACCAAATTAAATACAGAGCAGGGTACACAATGTTATTTCAATTAATATTAAATTCATGTGATGATCTAGTAGTTTTACAGAAATAAATTCGGTATTTATGCACGTTTATATTCCGTTGATTTCCTCGTAGTACGCCCTAACATTGCTGCATTCTATGAAGTGGTACATAAGGTGATACATATGGCATGTCAAACGTTGCAATATTCGATCTTTTCCATTTGTATTGTATAACTTTCCATTTGTATTGTATAATTTTTCATTTGTATTGTATAATTTTTCATTTGTATTGTATAATTTTCAATTTGTATTGTATAATTTTTATTTGTATTCTATAATTTTCCATTTGGATTTTATAATTTTCCATTTGGATTGTATAATGTTTATTTGTATTCTATATTTTCCATTTGTGTTGTAAAAAAAATCATTTGTATTGTATAATTTTTCATTTGTATTCTATATTTTCCATTTGCATTGTATAATTTCTTATTTGTATGCGATAATTTCTTATTTGTATGCGATAATTTTTCATTTGTATTGTATCCGAGGATTGTTTATTTATTTCGTTACGAAGGATGTCATTGGTCATAAAATTTAGTCTGTATAAAGGTCTCAGGTGCCCATCACAAACTTAGTCTGGTACCCTTCCCACAATTCCGATCGCGCACTCTCTACAAACACAAACTCGGCTCCTCTATTTGCGGTGCATGCTAAGGGACGACCATTTGATTCTCGGGGGGTGTCGAATCCGATTATTTATTTTCATTCTCTCGCAGGAGAGAATATTTATTTCCAATATGACCAGAGACAAGGAGAAAAACAAAAAGAAGAAAATCCGCCCAAACCCGAAAACTCAGTTTTTTGGGGGTGGGGGTAGTTACCACCACTCAAGGTCAATTTATTTATTTTCTCAGTCAGCATTCCTAAGGACAGATTATTTATTTGCCATCTACCAGCGCTCCCTTTTTAGAATCCAATGACCGTCTAAAATGCACGTAAATACATATGCCGCCGAAATATGGCTGAAATATTGCCGACTCGGCGTTAAACAATAATCAATCAATCAAGCAAGCAAATACATATGAGCCCAGTTTGCTTTGAGCATCCGGAACATCTTCAACCCGATACAGGCTGAAACTTGACCAATGAAATCCTTCGTAACGAAACAAATAAACAGTCCGCGGATACAATACAAATGAAAAATTATCGCATACAAATAAGAAATTTTACAATACAAATAAGAAATTATACAATGCAAATGGAAAATTATACAATACAAATAAAAATTATACAATACAAATGAAAATTATACAATACAAATAGAAAATTATAGAATACAAATAAAAATTATACAATACAAATGAAAAATTATACAATACAAATAGAAAATTATACAATACAAATAAAAATTATACAATGCAAATGGAAAATTATACAATGCAAATGCAAAAGATCGAATATTGCAACGTTTGACATGCCATAGATACAACCTACCCACAGGGACATGAATTAAACAACACTAATTAAGGAGGCTGGGGGTCAACAAATTAACCACAAATTAACCACCAGATTTAACTTAATTTTTAAGATATGATATCTTAAGGTGTCAACTATCATTTGGCAAAGAAAAATTTCAAAAATTTTAGTTTTAAAATTTGATCATTTTCTATATCTTCATATGGAGCTCCTCTTCTAAAGGAGATCAATATAGTCTAAAAATGGCCACAACCCCCCAGCCTCTTTAAGGATGCTTCCCTATTTCTTTGACTAATAATTATTTTAATTTTTTTTTTAAAGATTCCCACCATATATTTCTATATAAAATACTTGTCTTCTATTGTTGCTCCAACCTATGCTCAAGAGACATGATTAGTACAATCTTTAATGTACACTTTCTGATGATACTTCTGTATTCATGACAAAACGTGGCTACTTAAATATAGTTACACGTTTTCCGGATAAAAAAAAAACAAACAGTGATTTGTCTTTACTTTGCTGTATGGGATTTTACTAACGACAAAAATGAAGGCAGTAATAAGTTTTGATTGATTGTGTTTTGTATTACGTCCCGTTCGAGAATTTCTCACTATATAGAAATGTCACCATATACCGATGAAGGGCTTCAACAAATTTAGACCTTTACTCGACACCATGGGTCATTGAGCAATTAGGGTACTTTATTGTGCCAACGCCTATCGAGAAATGGGACCTCGGTTTTGAAAGTCTCATCCGAAGGACCCGCAACTTTCACGCCAAAGTACCGAGCGCTTGGGAGAATGAACATTTGCCAATTATTTTTTTATCGGCTTAGGTCAGTCGCGAGCATGATTCGAACACACGACCTTCCGGTCACAGAGCGATCGCTCTAGTAATAAGTTTTGATGTAGTTCAATACTCTTACACAATTTGATATCGCGAATTGTATTTTTTCTTGTATTGTGAGGAATAGCTATTTCGGTGTTATGTCACATAAAGCATTTCCCGTAAAAATTAGCCCCGCCCTCTTTATGCAGGCTTAGCAATGCTGCATATTTTAATGTAAGATTGATATTGTATGATGACCGTGTTCAAGGATTATCAAAACTAAAAATACGAGGGTCCTTTATTAAATAATGCAATAGGTCATCTAAGAGAAAGACAACTACGTAATACATATTCTAAACATTTTCAATCCCTCAAAACATAATGATTCCCTGTTATCCTTTACACATGTCTTAAGTCTTTGTATCCATGATCAGAAAACCTCAACATACTCATTTTTAGTCTTTGTCCCAGAGACACTAATGTCTATCACTTCCCATGACATTTTCAATATTGTACAATCTTTCTTTGATTGTTTTTATGCGTTTTTTTAAATAAAAAAAATCTCAAAATGGCTGAGATCTAGCGAATATGGGGGATGGCAAAGCTCTGTAAAGTTTTTTTCATCAGAATTTCATTTATTTCTCTGTGCTTATTTACAGCAGCGTTGCCAGGTGCAAGAGAATTACCTTGGGACTTCCTATGCAGGAAATCTATTTACCTTTCCTTAGTGCAATTTGAACATAAAAGTAACCATTGATGGTCCTTCCTTTTGGTGTATGTACATTACATATTTTACTGGACCTCATGAAAAAAATGAAAACTAATAAAAAATGCTTAGAGCCTTATTTTCTCTTTACAATAATAAGATCGATAGCTTTTACATTGATTACATTTTTTACGGCACCCATGTTTCGCCATATCACCACATATACGAGCTTTTGTCTCGGATATGTGAGTTTATGGAAGTGACCCTATCATTTTGACCATTCCGGATCAATTAAGTCCATTTAGGTTCATTAATGTCATTCTATCCGGATAATTGTAGTCCTTTGGGGTAAAGTCTAATATTAAGTATTTCAACTTCCTTTCTAGAAGATTCGAGAAATTGGTAAAGTCACGAAATTTGCAGGAGAAAAATTGCTTTTAATTTTATTTGAATTTGTTAGTCGGAAGAAGTTGAGAGATTTTTAAATCAAGTTTAAGGATTATTTAACTGCGTTTTAAAGCAAATTGAAGCATCGATGGCTAATTTCTGCATTGATTTTTGATCGATTTAATAGTTTCACGTGTAGGGTAATTTTTTGTGAAATAATTCGGATAGTCTTTGTCAAATAATTATATTTATGTTTTTCGAGCAAAATGCCTAAAGCAAAATTCAAGTCAATCATATCCACACGGAGGAGGGCTAAAAAAAAAAGCACGGATGGAGACAACGGAGCCTACGGTCAAGTCCTAGCCTCTGTCTCGGAGCCTCAAGCAACCCCAGCGACCAACGTGCCCGGAACTTCAGCTCATGTAGAGCTTCCCTCACTGGTGTTGTCCACAGCCTCTCAAACAGCCCCATCTACCAACGTAACTGTAACACAACCACAGACGGCAATGGTCACGGGCTCTGCGAATCAAGTTCAACCGGAAATGAACGCTATTGCTCCAATAGATGTATCTACCAGTTCTAAAGGTACAGTTGGTAAAGATACTTGCATGCAACCAGTTTTGTTTTTGCCAAATTCTAGTTTACCTTCTATGGCAAATTCAACACAATTGTCATTAGGCTATCATGTCGACAACTCTACCAAACAAAAGATTGCTAATGGGGAGTATATTAATTTGGCTCATCTCTTGGTAAGGGACCCAAGTAAATTACAGGTTTCAACTTTATCAATGGATGCACAGGGTCAGATTATTGCACAACCAAAGAATACAAACAAAATAACATCAATTGACACATGGACAGACGCATTTCTGATTTTCGCTAGCATTTATCTAACAGCACATCCCAATAAAACGCAGCAATTGCTCAAGTACTTGCACGACGTGAAATTAGGGGCTGAGAAATCGCAGGGTTGGGTCACGTATGATGAGCAGTACAGGTTACGCATGGCAATAAACCCAAGTGGTAATTGGGGGGAAATTGACAACGAGTTGTGTCTTGTTTATATGTCACCTTCTGTAGCAGATAATAATCAAAGGGCATCTACATATTACAAGTGCTTTCATTACAACTACAATGGCAAGTGCACCAGGCTTCAATGCACATATACACATCGCTGTCTTAAGTGCAATGATATGCACCCTGCATTGCACTGTTTAAGTTCCCAAGCAGCATCTGCTCAGACTTCCCTTAACTTAAATCGTGCCTTTCGTGCAAATGGACCAGCTGGTCAGCAACCGCCAAACCCCATACCAGTTCTAGGCCAAAAGGCAACCTGGGCTACAAGCAAGACCTTTGGGACCTGGGCGTTTCCCCTATAAGATTGATTGATTGATTGTATGTTGTTTTACGTCCCATTTGAGAATTTTTCACTCATATAGAGACGTCACCATATACCGGTGAAGGGCTTCAAATTTTGACCTTTACTCGGCACTCAGGGCCATTGAGCAGTGAGGGATCTTTATCGTGCCAACGCCTGCCGTGACACGGGGCCTCGGTTTTTAAGGTCTCATCCGAAGGACCCGCAACTTTCACTTCAAAGTGCCGAGCGCATGGCGAAGGAACAGTTGCTACCCATTTTTTATCGACTTAGGTCAGTCGCGGCCGAGATTCGAACTCACGACCTCCCGATCACTAAGCGAGCGCTCTACCGACTGAGCTACCGTGAACGGTTTTCCCCTATAAGAACTAATGCAGTGATAGAATACTTGGATAAATACCCTGACGAGTCCGCGGTCATGTTTTTAAGGGAGGGTCTAATTAATGGGTTTAAGTTAGAATATTCAGGCCCACGTCTTAATATGTTTAGCAAGAACTTGGTATCTGCAGTGCAACATGCAGATGTTTTACAGGAAAAAATAGATAATGTAGTTAAGGAGGGCGGGTAGAAGGCCCTTATCAAAGACAACCAATACACAATTTGCACATATCCCCAGTAGGAGTTGTTCCTAAAGCTGATGGCGGTTGGCGAATGATAATGCATCTTTCATACCCACCGTCAATCAGTATAAATCATGATATTGATCCAGCTTACACTGCTGTTAAGTATACATACTTCGACACAGTTATACAAACAATAAGTAAACTGGGAAAAGGGGCAGTCATTGCAAAATGTGATATTAAAACTGCATTTCGGCTACTTAGGGTTTATCCAGGTGATTTCGAGTTACTGGGAATGTACGTAAATGGAAACTACTTTTTCGACAAATGTTTACCCTTTGGATGTGCCATTTCATGTAAAATATTTGAATCATTTTCAACATTTTTAGAATAGGTGGTTAGGGATAAAACTGGCATGGACACAATTCACCATTATTTGGATGATTTTATTTTCATTGGTGGGGCAACACTAATTATATAAAGATTGTAAAATCCTTATGCAAACCTTTCAAAAGGTTTGTGTTGATATTAGAGTTCCCCTTAATCTAGAAAAAACAGTAGCACCTACTACTTGTTTAGTCTTCCTGGGACTGCTTATTGACACAATCAAAATGCAAATTAGAATTTCCCAGAATAAAGTTAATGAACTTACTCAACTGCTGCAATTTTGGGTGGGCAAAGAAAAAATTAAATTGTCGGAACTACAAACTTTAGTGGGCAAGTTGAATTTTTTTAGCAAAGCAATACCTGGATCGTCCGGAAGTAGAGCATTTAATAGACGTTTCTACAATGCGATGAGAGGACTAGACAAACCATATTTACACATTAGAATAACTAGTCCAATGCGTGAAGACTTGAGAACATGGCTTGAATTTGTAAAAAAAAAATTAATGGGGTGGTGTATTTTCCGGATAGTAAATGGAGTACTTCAGATACACTTGAACTTTTCACAGACAGTACAGGGTCAGCAGAGTTAGGCTGTGGGTGCTATCTTAAGAGTGAATGGATCTATTTTCAATGGCCTGCAGATTGGGCTAATACATCAATTTTAAGGGATATTACTTTTTTGGAGTTGATACCTATTGTGTTATCTGTGTGGGTATGGGGGAAAAGATTGCAAAATAAAAAAAAATCATTTTCTTCATAGACAATATAGCCTTAGTTCACATTTTAAATAAACAATCATCGCAGTCTGAAAGAATTATGTCATTAGTTAGGCCACTAATGCTAGCATTGTTAAGATATAATATACAATTTAAAGCCAATCACATACCAGGTAAAAGTAATTGTATTGCTGATTCTATATCCCGCAAAAGTGGGAGGTTTTCAGGCGCCTCGCACCAGCAGCGGACCCAGAGCCGCAGACCATCCCAGAGCCATTCCAGATATTACTCTCTCAGTTGAAGTAGAGCGCTTGTTCAACGCATCTATGTCCTTAAATACTGCACAAGCATACACAGTTGGGATTCATAACTTTGACCATTTTCGCGAGACACAAGGATGGTCGCTCACTTGGCCGCCGACGGATACGCACATAAATATGTTCATTGCCCAGCTGTCATTAAGGGGTTACAAACATTCAACAGCCAAGTCATATATTACAGCAATTAGCTTTTATTGTAAAAGTAAAGGCATTAATGACCCAACAAAGACCTTTGTTGTGCAAAAACTTTTACAGGGCATGAAAAGATCAAATCCGGGTGGGGATAGTCGTTTACCAATTACATTGGATATCTTGTTTGTCATAATACCTAAAGTTAAGGTAATCTGCAGCAGCTCCTACGAAGCCGCTTTATATAAGACAGCTTTCTTGCTTGCGTTTCATGCATTCCTAAGAATAGGTGAAATTGCCTTATCGAAGGGAAATACAGTTAAAACCATATTACAAGTGGAAGATGTTTCATTATTTGCCAGTAAATTGACAATTAGTATTAAACATTCGAAAACAGATCAGATGGGTAAAGGGGTGACATTAAGCGTTCAGGCATCGCATGGGGAAATGTGTCCAGTTAGAGTTATGCAAGCATACTTACTCGGGCGTCCAACAGTTACGGGCCCACTTTTCTGTCATTTTTCAGGAAAACCCATGACTCGTTATCAATTTAGTTCAGTGTTAAGTAAAGCTTTAAATATGGCCACCATTGATAGTAGAAATTATAAATCACAGTCGTTCCGCATTAGAGCGGCAACAACGCTTGCTCAACAAGGGGCATCAAGGGCAGTTATTCAAAATTCAGGGAGATGGCGATCTAATGCATATTGCTCATACATTCGCTTATCATGTCAAATGCTAACATGCATCTAGTTTTTAATTTAGGCTATTATAAAGTTTGGATCGTGAGATCATCCATTGTCAAGAGAGCTTTTTTAGCATCAAGATCAAGAACAGGGGGTCACAATCTTAATGTACCAAATACATGCATATGGTGGCAAGGCTATGGGGGTATGATCTTGAGTCAGCTGATCCCTAAACTGGAGCTTCTGCAGAGATTAGAAGATGAACCCAATCTTGTTATAATTCATTGTGGGGCAAACAGTCTTGGCCTATTAAAGTTGAAAGACTTGTTGCAACAGCTGAAAGAAACGCTATTAAAGGCATCAAAACTATCCCCCAATTCAAAAATAGTCTGGTCAGGTATGCTCTCCAGGTTTGTATGGCGTTATTCTAACAATTTAAAAGCCATGGAAAATGCAAGAACTAGAATGAACAGGGAAGCTATTAGGGTGGTTACAGCACAGGGTGGGGCATACATTAAGCATGTACAGTTTGAGAGTAAGCATAGGAGTTTGATGACGATGGGGTTCATTTATCACAATTGGGGAACGACTTATTGTTGAACAATTATCAAGGAGCAATTGAGCATATTAGGTCTGGTCAGGGTAATGCATTCCCGGCTAAATGAGCGGATCCTGGTCGTGGTGACCAATTGCGTTGGGGTACTGCCGCCGCCACTATGGTTCTTGGCACCCCATTTGTGGCGGTTGCAGTGCCATAACCTTTTGTGATAGGCTTAGGCCAGCACACAAATGGTTATGGCCCTTACAAGTTGCGTATTCCGTCGCACCTCAACGCAATTGGAGGAGTGCAACACATTAAGCTCATTACATTTGATTATTTTGATATTGAAGTTTGAACTGTTGAATTTGTACATTGAATTGAAATTGATTATTCAATATTGATTGCTAATTGACTATTGGGCATTTAATTATAATCTGACTTGAGCATTTAAGGGTAATTGACTATGAATTATTATTGTATTGGTGACGTCCATGCACTTGTGACCTACCCAGTGCAGGATCAGCCCAATTTGGGGCCGTCACATATTTTGTATTGATTGTTTATTGTTATTGAGGGGTAGCCCTGTGGTAACCACTGATATGAATCACCGCGGCCAGAAGCGCCACAATAAAGAAGTATAAATATATATATCTTGTTGTTTATAGGGAATCTGAGATAAATCACAAAATATTTAACAAATCTTCTTTTTCGTTAAAACATTTGCTTTTAAATATACTTTTGGCTCATTTAATATATGTTTTCTCTTCGGCGATTTTAAAAAAATAAGGCACCCACAGGTGACTCCCGAACTCTCGAAGTTCAAGGGACCTTTAAAAAGTTCTAGAGATCATGGGGTTCGAGAGATCGGAAGGCAAAAGGAAATCCTTAATTCTCAGGTCCAATCATTATGTATCTATTATTATGTTTAACGGAAGAATTTGCTAAACGCAGTACAGTTAAGACTACACATGAAGATAATATGATAATGAGGTCATAATGAGTTTTGATGTCATGACAGTTGCTCCGCCCTGATAGATCTATATAAGGAAATAGATTTCAAAAACGTCATTTAATGATGATTGCGAAAATTTGTACAGAATGTCTGTATTTTCATGTTTAAATAAATAAACATTAGTGATTTTCTTTTATTTAAGAAAAAAACAGAACGTCTTCGAAATAATTCTCTTTTTTTTTTATTTGTGTCGTTTGGCTGCATTCGGCTTCAGCCAAGCACTTGCACTCAGTGAGATGGAATGTTGTTTACATCTAAGAATGTGGCGACAGAATTCAAATCACCTCGCTGGATGACCTCTATGAATTAATTGGTTAACTATATCAAGCAACTGCCTTTATATTTATGTCACATGTAAAGTACAGAATCTACATTTTTAATATTATGGACATGCTCAAAACATGTTAATTTAAAAATTTCAATACTCTCCACTACCAGTGTATTGTTTTGCTCTCTGAACAACGTTGTTAGACACGCTTTGTTTATTTACATACATTGTCAGTCTTGTATATATGTTTGTTTTGACTGACTTACAAGTAATTGTTCTTGTAACAAGCCCTAGCTTCTCTGTTTACTATCTGTTTTTTTATTTTGATTACATCAGCAATGGGTTTCAGTTTTTCTAGATAATTTCAATATTTATATGTGTATTGTATAATGTTCCTCTGATTATTATGCTTCTCTGTGTTTTATTCATATTAAACTGAAACCCAAATATGTAAATATGTTTAATATAATTCATATGTAGGGAGAGGACCTTTTAAGTTTTAGGAACTTTTGCCCAATCCCAGTTGTAAAATTTATAAACAATAAAATATGTTCAAACCAACGTGGCGACAGCAGCTGGGATATTCAGTGGCTAAATGCAATAAGCAGGAAATCTTTAAAGAGAATATGGATAAAATAAGAGACATAAGCATTGTTTATCTCTTTGATAAGTGGATGGTGACATTATTTCGGGAAATCATGGAAAACTGACACGATTTGCAACACCTTCCTAGGTCCCTTTCTTTTCATTTAGGTGTGTATGCGTGCGCATAGTTATCAACATGTAGACATACTGTTGTTTATATCGATGTAAAATAAGCTTGAACTTGTACAATAATATGCATAATTACCGTCCGTCACATACTGTAATGCAGTGTCTTGTGTGTATGCCCCCAACACACATTATAAAATGTGCACCTTTTAGCCTAACAATTTAATTTGCACTGAATGTAGAGAATTTTTGTCATTCAGTTTATTTTGGGAAAAAACCCAAATATGTCTGTGTAGAAAAGGGAATCTGCAATAATACAAAAGTTACTTTAAAGGTGCTTGGACACAGATTTGAAGTTAATATTTTCTCAAATTTTCTGTATAATTTCATGACTTATATGTTGCTATAGCATTTCATACTAAAATATAATAAAAATCTTATTTCATCTCGAAGTTATCAAAACTTCGAATTTCTAGACGCGTTGGATTGACACATCCTTGTGCTTTCACATATTTTAATTTTATTCTTAATACTTAAGAAAAGTGGCAATTTTGTTGTGTATTAATGAAAAATATTAAAACTATTACCCAGAAAATTCAGAGCAGAAATGTTCGAAAGCAAAACCCACTCACAGTATTGCAAGTCCGTGCTCAGTGGTGTGTGCAGAGTTTAACAATTGAACACACCCGGTGAATCGTAAACGTTAACAATAACAGAGCTCGTGCCCTGCTTACAAAAACAGTTTACGTTTTACGGGTGTGTTCAATTTGTTAAACTCTGTACACATCACAGAGCACGGACTGACAATACTGGTGAGTTGGTTTTGCTTTCGAACATTTCTACTCTGAATTTTCTGGATTATAGATATAATATTTTTCATTAATACATAACAAAATCGCTTCTTTTCTTCAATATTAAGGATAATGTTAAAACTTGTGTTAGTGCAAAGATGTGTTAATCAAACGCGTCCCGGAATTCGTAGTTCCAATAATTTTCAGATAAAATAAGTTATTAATTATATTTTCGTGTGAAATGCTATTGCAATATATAAGTCGTGATATTATACAGAAAATTTGAGAAAATATTAAGTTCAAATCTGTGTCTAAGCACCTTTAATTCATTAACAATTTAATTCATTTATATAACATTACTATTACTCTTTTCTTACATGTACAGTTTCAATCATTGGTTCATTTAACATGCAATGATGCTGTCTTTCAGCAAACAAACATGTTACATAATATAAAATGCACAGCATGGCATGATATCAAATAATAATTCAGATGCAGTCACACTTGAAGTGTATATGTGAAGTCAAACTGCACAGTGTACAATGTATGTGCCTTGTAAGTACAATAGTACAAAACCCTATAAATTTTAAAGTATACCTCTGGAAATCAAAATTTCGCTCAAAAATTATATGAAATTTAAGATTGCAGTTTTTTTTTACCATAGTTTTTTTAAATTTATATTTATATGTTTTATCTATCTGTATCACTAGGCTGTAAATTTGTAGAATTTCTACATAAAAGGAGATAACATATTTGAATTTTGATTTGTCTGACTACATGTAAATTAAGTCAGTCTTATATGTATAAACATATACTTATAAACTGTTTACATATACAATTTTTTTATCATTGTAGTTGTTAGGTGTTGTAGGCTTAAAGAAAAATTACATGTAGGACTTGTGAAACTGGGATGTACATAACCCAGAATTATCAAAATAGATGCATCAATTTCTCCACAGGGTATGGTCACTACTAAAGCATTTCACATCAATGTTATAGTATGCCAGTGTTATATTTTTTTCCACTTTTGTATAGGTGAATGAATTAAATGTTAGTCTAATGATTTTATTTTTTTTAACTATAGCTACCAATCATTCCTCTTGCCAATGTTATAGGTTTCAATTTTTCAGAAAAGTTGTTTCCAATTATTTCCTGAATTTCAGAAAATATGGTATAGTATGGTTTGTTTTGCGCAATACAATTTCATTCCCTTCTACAATTGTTGTCATAATGTATTTCATTCATTACATATATGTTGTAATTTGATTAATTGATCCATTCAGGCAGCACGTGTATTCATTAATCAAGTAGAAAAGATATGCTCCATATTAGCTATAAAATATATATATATTCCTGGCAAGATTATTGAAATGTTGAATTAAAACATATACATGTGTATGCTTTCTATACATATGTAACTCAACACCAGTGAACTTTCCATAATGGTATTTCATTTTATTTTCAGAATTGATTTCATCCAAAGGAACATGAGGTGTTGGAAATATTTTGGACCTGCTCAGAATTCCCTTCACAGCCTGCCTTTTAATTTGAAGAGCTGTGTTTATTAGATAAATTTTCTATAAATATAATACTTTGACTTTTAAACAGTACAGTGGTGTGAAAGTTTGAAAGCTGTTAAGGTTTAAAAATCTTAACTTGCATGTATATTTTTGTTTGTAGTACAAAAAAGTTCACTTTTTTAACTGAGTATCTGCTTCTTGACTACAATTTTTAAAGTACCAAAATAAGTAACACCATATGTAAACACGGTATGATAATTTATTTTTAACATGTTAGCACGGTACATTATATCAAAGGTGCCAGAGACAAACTGGTGGGGGGGGGGGGTGTAGATCAGTAGAAAGGAAAACAGGTTATTAGTGGCAGATTTAAGGGGGCGTACCCGGCTTGCGCTCCCACCCACCCCCACCCCTAAAAGTGTCAAAGTTAGCATAAATCATAGTTTCGTCGAAAAAAATTTAAAATGTGTACTCAGTAGACCTCATTTTTACCCTACAAAATCTCTAGCATCCAGAAGCTTCGCAGGTAGGTTAAGGCTTCCCGTAGAATATGACAGTGCACTTTGTGCCTTCACTTCTCTGAACTACCAAAATATGACATCATAATGGAAAATGACGTCAAGTCACTTCCAACTTCAGGTGTTATGACGGGAAGAGTGTCATGAATTTTACACTTTATTTAAAAGTGCATGTAAAATGCTAGATAGCTTTTGCAAAATTCACGGGTCGTTAAAGGTTTTATAAGTCTTTTACGTCCGAATATTTTAAAAATATATTGCTAACATTTTAAAGCTTTGGGAAGCCTTAACATAGCTGCGTTCCGGGGGCTTCGTCAAACCAACTGGGGGCCTCCAGGCGGCCTGCAGACCATGGCCACCTGCCTACTTATTGTTCTCCCCCTCAACTTCAACATTCTTGCTGGTTATTAATATCAGAGGTACTCCAATCCCTTTCTTCCGTTCATAAAACTTTTATCTTAGTCTAGAATCCCTGAACAGTAGAAGGTTTGATAGCTGCTAAGACAATATTTATTTCCAATCAAGGACATACACAATTAAAAAAGAATGTACGTAAAAAAAAAACCCACTTCTGTTGGAAATTTTTTATGCGTTTGTGTACCCGGGGAAGAGGTATAAATATCTAATTAATTGATAGAGACTGTCTATTGTTTATCAGAAATGATTGAATCTTTCAATATCTTTATAATTAGCTATGTGATGATGGGTGTTGCGTCAAATTTTAGGCCGTTATAATATCAATGAGGAGATGCAGAAGGTGTCAAAGACGTCTTGAGCAGCGTATAAAAGAACGAAGGCATACAAAACAAAATAAAGTCAAAGATTTTTTATCTCCCATGAAGAGTCAATGATGCGTTTGAAAATTATATTTACAAATGTAGAATGAATGTGTCAAGATTTCAATTTTTAATCAAAAAGTGCAACCCAAGAGGTAGCTTTTTTATTTTGAAATTATTTTTTTTTTCTGTATAGCTTTTAAAAAGTGATGCTCATTTCTTTGTAATACATTAGATAATTTATAATTCCTCTTGAAATAATGAAAATAACCTTTTTTTTTAAATACTGGTGTTTGTTTTCAACGAATAACTTAAATATCTAAGAAATTTAACTGAATAAGCATCAATTTTGAGATAGGATAGATATCAAGGGACACATTGAAACGTTGTGCAGTTTAATTTTTGTTTGCCTTGTTCTTGCATTTTTTGGTTAAAGTTGACATTTTATATTTTGACACAAAATTGGATCCCACGTGACTGTAAAGTGTCAATTGATAACAAAAAATACTGATGAGAAAAGCGATGAACATACTCTTCCAATGCCATTTAGATATTTCAAATGGAGTTTCATCCTAAAAAAAAATAAGGCGGTTGAACTTTAAGTGTGTCATTTTTAGTGCCTTTTTATAGAAAAGTTTGCCTTAACTGTACAGTGAAAATATTTTGGCATATTTTCTTCCGTATTTGCAAGCAGTTTACCTGATTTCAACAAAGACGATCGTATCTTGATTAAATTAAAAAAAAATCTTTCAGATTCAATATCTGTTTCATTTTCATTACTGCATATAAGCTCAGATGATATTTGCACGATATCACCCTAGATCCTACACAAGTTTGCTCGGATGGCAATTCAGTTATTGAGAATTGAGTTAAGTACAGTGGTATCCTTACTGAGATTGTGTAGAAATAGAAAAAAAAATGTTCGTTATTCATGATAAATTTTTGATATGTCTGCAAAATAAGTTCCCAAAATCATAATCTTGCTGGTTGTCAAGTCAAAATCGGTCGTGAACGGCAATCTGTTTTTGAAAACTACCAATTTACCAATTATTTAATTATTGACCCTCGGACGATTCGGCTGTACTGTCACTTATGTAAACACGCAATTAACATATCCACTCTCGTCCCATATATCCACTGTTTTCCAGTTAAGTCCTAAATATCCTAGCTGAAAGAATTACACTCCTGATTGACGTACTAGTATATGATGTATAACCAACGCTTCGACATATCAAGAGTGAAAATATAATTCATGCAATATGTGTATCAGGAACTAGGTTTGAAAGATAGTGAACTTCGAGAGATCGGAATCTCGATAGATGAGGAGTAAATTTGCTTCGTTATGTATAGGAATAAACAGGACTGGGATTTTACTTCGAGAGATCCAGAACATAACAATCATGCTCCAGTTCTGATAAAACTCGGTACTTTAATAAACTTAAGGATGATAATTCCGTGTATCGATTTGAGATTTTGTTTGCAATATTGCAAGTACGATAGCTACATGTATAAATCTACTTGAGGATACAAAATTTTGTATGTGAATTTAGCGACAAAGGCAAAATCTGTGAAATAGTTTTCAAAGCAGCATTTCCCCTAAATTTGTGTTATATGTAGGTTACCTTATTTTCTTAAAATTGTCGAAGAGAAAACATTCATTAAATGTACCAACGGTCTAATTAAAAACAAATACTTTAACAAAGATTTTCCTGATGGATGGCGAAAGATGGGTGCACTTTTTATAGCCAAAAAGGAAGATCAGTAGAAAAAAGTGGAATCAAAGAAAAGACTATCGTTCTTATTATTGTAAAGAGAAACAAGGGTACCAAGCATGTTTTGCTACTTTTTATTTATCCAAGAGGTCCAGTAAAACATGTACATACGCCGAAAGGAAGGATCATCATTGGTAACTTTTATTTTCAAATTGCACTGGGGAAAAATAAACAAGTTTTTTTTGCAAAGGAAGTCCAAATCCCCCCCCCCCCCCCCCCCGCCCCGGTAATTTCCTTGTACGTTGCAACGTTGCTGCAACTTAGCACAGAAAATCCGTTTACAGATCTTTGCCACCCCCTTTATTTGCCAGATCTCAGTCTTACTGAGATCCTTTTATTCCAAAATTGCATGAAAACAATCAAAAGTAGATTGTACAATGTTAGATACGTCATGGGAAGTGATATTCATTAGTGTCTTTGGGGCATCCTTAAAGGTGAGTATGCTGAGGTTTTCTGGTCATGGATACAAAGCATTAAGACAAATGTAAAGGGTAACAGAGTGTGCTTTGAGGGATTGAAAATGTTTAGAATATGTATTACGTACTTTTCTTACTCTTAGATGACCTATTGCATTATTTATTGAAGAACTCACGTATTTTTAGCTTTCATTAACCTTAAATACGATCAACATACAATATCAAACTTACATTAAAATAAGCAGCACTGTAAAGGCTGCATTAGAGGGCAGGACTAATTTTTTAAGGGAAATGCTTTCTGTGACATCACCAAAATAGCTATTCTTCACAATACTAGAAAATATAATTTGGGATTTCAAACAGTGTAAGAGTATTTATCTACATCAAAACTTATTACTAAAGCGAATGCTCTGTGCTCGGAAGGTCGTGTGTTCGAATCACGGCCGCAACTGACCTAAGTCGATAAAAATAGGTAGCAACTGTTCCTTCGCCAAGCGCGCGGCATTTCGGAGTGAAAGTTGCGGATCCTTCGGACGCATCGAAAGACATTGCTTGGACACTAATCATTTCATCATCACAACTTTTCATGGAATTCTGACAAAGGAAATGAATATAGTAATGTTTCTATCAGCATTGACACCTATGACATCAGAGCAATGGCGCATAGCGTCGACGATCAAAATATACTGTTGAGAAATTCAAACTTCGAATCGCTGAAACTTCAACAATATTAATTTTCTGGCAAAGATTTTTTTTAAAATATATGATTTAATAACATGTTAACTTCGTCATATAAAAGAAAATATTGAGACGTGATAAAAACCCTATAAGGACAGATGATACAAAAAAAAAATGAATGCCGGATTGGTGTATTTACATGTATGTTTGGACCTACATTTTTTATAGATATTGCGAATAAAACAAATCTAAAATTCTAAGAAATTGTAAACCTTCTTTGATGTTCAAAATTCTACCTTTCTGTAACCATCCTTATTAATCTCTACAACCTTTTTAATCTTTGTAAAACTTTGGATGAAAAAAAAATCTATTTGGTAAAAATGATTCATTTTACTTATATAAACATGACTTAAGTTGTTATTTTCAGGATTTTTGATAAAAGTTTGTTTGTATCATCTGTTCTTAAGGTTAAAACTATCTTGACGTCAGCCCTCTTACCACGTTTAAGAAAAAAAAGTTGCACATTAATATTTTTTATCAATTATGGCTAAAAGTAATTCCCGATTTCAGTTTTTGCAAATTTGTGTCATCTGCAAAATTCTGCAAAACTTGATCATCGCAGAAAATACCAATTTTATAGTATTTTGCTACAGTGTAAAAGGAAATGAAAATGATATTTTGTCATTGAAAAAGAAGATTAGAAATGACATATAGCTTGATTTTCCTTCCATTCTTGATCAATGAAATAGAAATGATCTCTCGCCTGTTATAAGACGGGGAGTTTAATAAACAAATCCGGCAGAATAACAATGGAACAACAACAAAGACTATCCATAGGATCAATACAAAAATGATTCAAATTAGAAAAGCGGATGACTGAAGTTATCAACAAGTGGGGTCTTAGACGGGCTTGGACACAGATTTGAAATT